ACAAAAAATTATACATACTAAGTCCAACACCTTATTGCTTGACTAGAATGCAGATAAATTGTGTTATAGAGAAAAGATTGAAATTTAATATCGTTCCAAGCCTCCCCCCCACCAAAAAACAACAACAACCAAACAACAACATAAAAAAACAAAAACAAAACAGGATCAGGAGACAATAGGTCTTGATAGTAAACCAGAGAAGCTAATGTGAAACATATTTACGAAAAACCAAAAATGATGTGTTCTTGCGTTTGTAGTGTGAAATATTTGATTTTAAGTGACACAACGAATGATTTTAGCGTGAGGCCTCATGGAATTCCGCATGCCATTGGCTTCAGTAGACACTGTCTTAAGTTTGACATTTTTTATAAGACCGTCAGACGCTGGGAGCGTCCAGTACTAGCGACAACTGTTTCGTTTTATTTAGCGCTAGTCCGTGTTTGTTTTTCGGAACTATTCCCAAACCAAGTTTATTAGTAATGACTATATAAGCCTTTGTTTCTGCCATTTAGAAATTAGATGCAAGCTTTTGAGGTTGTAATGAGACATAGCGCGCCAAGTTTAGGTGACCCTAGAGAAAAACAGTGGAAATAACTCAGGGTCGAAAGAATTATAATTTTTAAGAACAGGTAAAGAAACTCCGGTTATGTTTGACAAGAAATACTACTCACGATACTGCTAGATGTGACAGCACTTTTTGAATACATCTTTCCGCGAATCAAATTCTAAACACAGCTACGTCAGTTTAGGCCTAGATCTATGAAAAAAAATACTGAACGGATATGTTCTGAAAAGAGATCGATAAAAGGAGTAAAATAAAATGAATAAAATTACCAGAACCTCACCATGCATTTCAACAGAAAAGATCACCGATTTTTTTTCTTCTCAAAATAATAGATCAGATGGCCAATTCTGTTTCTATTATGTGACGTAGGCTGCCACTGATTTCAACACGGCAAAAACCTTTGTCTTTTCTTTTTTTTTTTTTCAAAACAAATTTCGGTTCAACTCCTGGCTTTCTTTTACGCTACAGAACGGGCCACTCTTTAATATTTGGGACCCCCCCCCCCCCCCCTCCCCCCCCCCCCACCCACACACACACACCAATCACACAAAACACAGAGAAAAAAAGAAAGAAAGAAAGAAAGAAAGAAAGAAAGAAAGAAAGAAAGAAAGAAAGAAAGAAAGAAAGAAAGAAAGAAAGGAAGAAAACCCCCCAGCAGTGGAGACAATTCCAGTGAGGGCGAATGTTAATAAATGTCACTCTCGGAGCTGAAAACAACGGTTTGATCATCAATTAGAAGTTCCTTTTACAACAACCTCTCCTGTGCACGATTCATTGTAGTATACGACATTACGTGTCACTCTGTTACAATAGTACTAGATCTAGTGACACAGTGTTACAGAAATCTCACCGTGCAATTTCAATGACATTGTTTGTTTTGTTTGTTCAAATTCTCAAATTGAGAAATGAACCATCTCGTAATGTACGACATTCTTCGCTCAATATTGAAGAGCAATGACCGTATTTGAATCTTTAATACTTGTTTATAACCCCCCTCCCCCCCATTCAGACAAACAAGCGCGCCACGGTTAAGGGAACTTCAAAGGCTGTGGTGTTTATTTAGTCATTATACAATCGTTTAGGCTCTCAACTGCTTTTACTTTTGTGTTCCGCTCTTTTTAAGTCGGGGCCCAGAATTCTACATCAGAACACGTCATGAAAACATGAGCCAGCCGTGGATGAATTGGAAGAACAACAACAACAACAACAACAACAACAACAACAACAACAACAACAACAACAAAAACAACAACAACAACAACAACAACAACAACGTTTAGGAAGACACTTTCCGATTCCGAAGGTATTTTCTGTTCTTTATCATACTGATAAGAATGTAATCCCAGAGACGGCCTGTGGAAGGGTAAAATATGTAGCAGGACAGACTTAATATTGAAATAAAAATCTCTTTCTTCTGTTTCTCAAGAAAAGAAGAGTTTCCGGTATTCTTTTCATTAAAGAAACAATAATTAGACCACATACTTTTGACACTACATTCCTCCATTTAGATATCGTTGGAACTCAAATTTTATTTAAAATTCTAAGCTGGACCACGTCTAAATATTTGATTTATCCTCTTTTTTTCCCCATGACCTAGCACTTTCTTTTCTTCGTTAATTCCCCAGAAACTGCTTTTTGGTTTTTTTAGTAAGAGTTTTATGGCGCTCGCAACTGCATAAGGTCATAAATTATGAGCGCTGCTTTTTGCTTGAAATGATACGTTAATGTGGACAGAAATAACAGAGATGACGATAATTTGTGTCCACTGTCACATTTGCAATAAAAAGAAGCGAACAGCGCGTTTATCACACGATCCTTTGAGATGCATTACGCTTGCATAATTGCGTACATGTCGCTCTCTGTGGCCAAATCAATAAAGGGAGATCTTGTTTGTTCCTGACGGGAGCTGGTTAAATAAACGGACTGTGTTTTGTCAGAAAGATAATATAGAAAAAGGAAAGGCTGGCTGATATAATGTAGACGAGACACACACACACACACACACACACACACACACACACACACACACACACACACACACACACACTCACACACACACACACACACACACACATACATAAACACACACACACATAAAAACACACAGACACACGCAAATACATACACACTCACGCACGCTCACACATGCGCTTGAAGAAAATAGATAAAGAGGCAGACGAACAGAAACAAAATTGACGTTGCTATTGTGTTTATCATTGTTGTTGCTGTTGTTGCTGTTGTTGTTGCTGTTGTTGCTGTTGTTGCAGATGATGATGCTGTTGTTGTCGTTATTGTTTCTTGTTGTTACTGCTGTTGTCGTTGTTGCTGCTGTGTGTGTGTGTGTGTGTGGTAGCCTATCCGTACGAAATGTTTGGAGCCCCGAAGAGCGTGCTCTTCGCCAGGGCCACCGCCTCCCTTGGGTAGCGGGTGAGGCAGTCCAACCTCCCTGAATCCCCCCCGAAGAGATGCCACCGCCGGGCCTCCGTGGCGGGGCATCTCTGCAGCCAGTGCTCCAAATCTTGGGGTTCCTCGCTGCACAATGGACAGGTTGGGTCCGATGTTCTGTCTATTCTATTTTTGTAGGCCCGCAGCCCAGAGAAGTGACCGGTCCTGATTTGTGCCAGTAATGACTGGTCACTGCGGCACATAATAAGAGCCTCTCGTTTTAAGGAAAATGCCCTGTATACTGTTGCTGCTGTTGTTGTTTCAACCCAACACCGTACTAGACAAAAGGGGACATTGCGTTGAAAGAAAATATTCCAGAAAAGGACCCCGAAAATAGTTAAATAGTTATAATATAGACCCTTTCGATTTCAAAGCACGAATTCCCAGGTGTCGGATAGAGATCAGGCTCAAAACAAACTGCTCAACACCAACAGCGAGAGGGCATTAATTTTGTTTGTTTGAGTAGGAGTTTTACGGCACTTGCAACACAATTAGGTCATACAAGTGCCAAAGATTAGAGGTGTTACAAGAGCGTAACAAACACAAAAAAGAAGGCGGACAGATCAGGACGATAGACGTTTGTTAGAAAAGAAGGAGGAAATCACACGAGAACACCCGCCAATTACCCACTGCAGCAGTACAAAATAAATGTATTAAATGCTAAACTTTGAAATCAAACAAACAGATTATTTTGTGTTCTCTTGTCTTAATTAACAGCATCAAATTCTCTTCGGTGTTCAGTTTCTCTTTTAATCGTCAGAACTTAATTCTTACATGCAGGATGAAATGAAATCACAATAGGGCATCAGAACATGCTCTATTTTATTCCAGATTGTCTGGGGGGTTTTTTGGTGGGGGAGGGAGGGGGCGGGGGGTGGAAACAATCAAACATCTCTCTTGTTGAAATCCGAATCTCTGGATTTTCGAACAACATAATGCTTTTATCGGTATTCGATATATCCTTGTAATCTGGATGTAACCTCACGAACCTCGATTCGTTTTCCCCAAAACGAAACAAAACAAAGCAATTAAAACAAAACTGGCTAAAATAATCGATGGTTTCGTAAAAGTTGAAGGGTCTGATTTCCTCAGTATCGGTTTTCAAAGCGACTGTGACAAAAATCCGTCCAAAATTCAAACATTCCGTTCCGAAATTCGAAACTTCCATTTCATTAGAATCTAGAACTTTGGTATCATTTGTGAGGCTTCATAGTGAAATCAGGCGCTCGTCTAAATAATGAAATCGAAGAAATAGGCCTTGTAATTACCGTTTGGAAAATTTTATCGAATTATTAATTTTTTGTTGTTGCTCAAAACCTTTTATATCCCATTTAAAAACATTGCTGTGTGGATTTCACCGAAAAAACCCATTGATTAAAGGCACACAAATTTTTTTTAAAAATCAACAGTTTCCAAAACCTCTGGCTTTGCAAGTAACCAAACTTTGGCCGCCATTTTCTTACTAGTGTTACCACTGAAACCAGGAGACCCCCACTGCCTTCAAATGCACATATCTTGACATGTATTGAAGATAGATGGGTAATTTTGTCATTGAAAGGATGACAAATGAACAAGCTTTAAGATGACACCAATAACTTCACTTCCCCTAAAATTGACGAGCGCCTGATTCCAGCTCGTCGTGCCGCATTTAAACACAATGTCTTCTTTCTATTTACACTCATCGTTCAAGACATTACTGTGCCAATACACGTCTGCACACATTTAGGACACTGTTGGTTTTTTAAAAAACATTGTGGACTACCCGGGGTCGATACAGCAGAGCTTTGAACTGTGTAACAATAGAAAGTTGTTTTGTGTGTTCAGGAAATGAGAGTCGAGTGAGAGAATGTCTAGTGGAAACACCGGAAAAAAAACCTCTCTCCCCTTTCATCTAACCCCCGACCCCATCCACTTTTCACTGTTTCTATGTATACATTTCTTTCTCTCTCTCTCTCTCTCTCTCTCTCTCTCTCTCTCTCTCTCTCTCTCTCTCTCTCTCTCTCTCTCTCTCTCTATCCCCCTCTCTCTCTATCCCTCTCTCTCTCTCTCTGTTTTGCTCTCTCTCTCACTCTCTCTCTCTCTCGTTCTCTCTGTCTCTTTATCTATCTATCTATCTATCTATCTATCTATCTATCTATCTATCTATCTATCTATCTATCTATCTATCTATCTATCTATCTATCTATATATCTATCTATCTCTGCTCCAATGAGTCACGAGGGACGTGGGCACCCTCTATCCCGGTTCCCTTCAGGAACCATCAGTTTCCTTACATACATATTATATATAACCAGAGATTCTGTATCTATTCCTCCACAGGAAACACTATGGTCGATCTGCACTGTCCCATCACATGTAAGTAACTTGTAGGATTTCGTAAGAAATGGAGTCGCGTTATAATATTGCTGAAGTCTAATGCGGGGTGCCCCTTACGAATAGACGGCGGATCGGGCCATTTGACTCTTTGACGATCTATGAATTTTATTGCTGGTGGTATTCCAGGTTTGTAGACGCACGGTTTCGTTTCTTATGCGGTCTCCTCTGGTGACGTTGATAGTTTCCCATGCATTGGTTTTTCTTTCTTGTGCCTTGTTTAGAGACCATGTTTGGCACTGGTATATTAATGTTGGTATGAAGATGTTATTGATGAGCTGGGATTTCTTTTCGGTTGGAATGTTCTTGTGACTGAGACTGAGCAAGGGTGCTAGCTGGTAGGTCAGTGCATTTGCCTTTACAGTGACCTATCAGCTAGCAACCCAAAACCGCACTAGTTTGTCTACAACTTCTAGAAATAATTCTGTCAAGACTTCCATTTTGTGACGTTACCATCCACTAGATATAATTGGTCGCTTTTAAGCACAAGGCGGCTATCCCGAAAAATGCTGTTTTGAGAAAATCAAAGGTAAAGTTTTTGCCCCTTGTTCAGTTTCTTTAAAAGACAGGAGAGTTTTCCCTATAACCAAACAAATATACACACCAATGAAACCAAACTTCTCCTATAGGTAGGGCAATGCCCTCTTTTGGTGTGGGTCAAGATTTCTGGGAACCCCAGAAATCTGGGTTAGCCCACTTGTCCTTAAAAGCGACCAATTGAGGCCGAGGCCGCACCAGCTTCACGTAACATTACTGACTTCCGTATACGTCCCGCTTTCGACTCTGCACCAGGCGTAAAGTCGGGAACAAATACTACACTTTGATCGTAGCCAAAAAGCCGAAAAGCGATTTCCTTTTGAGATTAAATCTATGTTGGTTTTTCTCGCGGATTCCTCAGTATGGGCTACTTTACTTTCCTCGTCCTTCCAGAAATCTGTCCGCTATGCCTGGTGTCCTGTAGTGGGGCAAATTAAGGGTCTACAATATATAAACTAGTTGGGTACCAGTTCGATGAACGGAATCAAAAGAATTGATTGTCAGTTTTGGCGGTGCACGGAGTCATTTGTGTAATCTTAACCTATCCGTACGTCGTGTTTTACTATCGTATCCATACGACGTGGAGAACTCTGTGCCGCCACTTTCCAAAGAGGAAATTTACTCGTTAATCCGACGCTTTGCATAGCAGTCTGTTAAAATTACTTTTTAAATTTTAAAAAAGAAATACTGAAAGTTTCAAAGAGATCTTCACACTTCTTAAATGTGAAGAATACAACCCCGGGGGTACAAAACGACCCCAGAGCGTACGGATAAGGTTAAAGTAAGATTCTTCATTTCCCTTGGTTTGGGTGAAATAATAACCAATAATTGTCTTGAATAGAAGTCGAAATATTTGTGATTGATGGAAGTGCAGGCCACCTGGTTTCAGAGGTAAAAATAAAGAGAAAACACCAGTCAAAGTTCTTTATCCTTTCGTAAGAGTTTTACGGCACTTGCAACACAATAATGTCATATAAGTGCCGAAGATTAGAAGTGTTATAAGGAAGTAACAAACACAAAAAAGAAGGAGGGGAGATAAAGACGATAGATGTTTGATAGGAAAGAAGGAGCAAACCACACCAGAGCACCCGCCAACCACCAACAGCCAAAGTTAGGTACCTCCGAAGTTCGAGTGTTCTTGGTAACGGAAAATTCAAATTACGTTTTTTTTTTCAGCACTCGACCAATATTTTAAGATAAAATATACACAGAAACGTGTTTTAAATGGACGTAAAACGTGCTACATCAAAGAGAAAAAAATCCCTAAAATGTGCCTAATGGGCGCACAATTTAATGTCGCTTTCTTCGATTTTGTTTTATTTGGACGGGTGTCTGGTTTCACCATGATGCCCTACATGTAGCGAATTGGTGAGTGGGACAATTTGACACGATTCACGAAACATGTTGACACACTGATGGGGAAAATGTTTGTTTTTTGACGTCATTACCTTGAATAAATGGAAAAAACGAGAATCATACGAGATGAATTTGTTCTAAATGTGTGCAATCAGAAGCCTCAATTGATAGTCTCAGCGATGATACTTTGATAGGGTTGTGGAGACATAAAATTAATGATTGTATTTCCCTGCCTTTGAAGTGGTTAGTTTTTCACCTGCTGAATTAATTAAGTGGAATCTGGTGTCTCACAGATGCTTTGGGGATTACGCAATCTGTATGTCTGTCTGTCTGTCTGTCTGTGTTTGTGACTGTCTGTGTGTATGAGAGTGTGTGTGTGTGTGTTTGTGTGTGTGTGTGTGTGTGAGTGTGTGTATGTCTGTGTGTGTCTGTGTGTGTCTATCTGTCTGTCGCTCTTTCTCTCCCTCCCCCCCCCCTCTCTCTCTCGTTTTACTATCATCATCCCTTTTTCTTCGTTTCTGTCTGTTAGTCTTTGAGTAAAGTAGGTTCTACTTTAAAAAATAACTTTCCTTCTGTTGTTTCTGTCTGTCTGTCTGTCTTACTTTTTCTGAGCACTAAATGGCTGTAGTCGTATATTTGTGCTTATCTTTACCCAAACAAACAAACAAACAAACGAACAGACAGACAAACAAACAAACAGGCTTGGTTTTTGTTATTCACTCTTCCCCTTTCTTCACGAGTTCATTTGTCACAACAACAGGAACGTACAATCTTAGTCTCTCACGATTCTTTTCCTACTTCATAATAATATGACCTAAGCCTGAACTCTATCCGTACGTCGTGTTTTACTATCGTATCCGTACGACGTGGGAAATCTGTGCCTACATTTTCCAAAGAGGAAATTTACTCGTTAATCCGATCCGTACACTTACATAGCAGTCTGTCAAAATGATTTTTTGAGAAATACTGAGAGTTTCAAAGAGATCTTCTTATTAAAAGCATTTTAAAATGTGAAGAATACAACCCCGGGGGTACAAAATGACACCAGGGCGTACGGATAAGGTTCAGCAGGCGAGCATCGTAAAACTTTCACCAAATAAACTTTTCCTGTGTGTTTCCATCTCACAGGGCCTCCAGGCGAACAGTGCTGTGTGAACAATAACGTGTATAAAACATGCACAAGTAAGTGGTCTATTGCTGACACATACAAACACGCACGCACACGCACACACACACACACACATACGCATACACGCACACACACATACAAACACACATGTATACATACATACACAAACACAAGCAGTCACATGTACACACGTGTACATGCACATACACACACATACATACACACATGTATATATACATACATGTATATATACATACATACACAAACACATGCAGTCAGATGTACACACATGCACAGATGCTCGTGTGCACATACTTATACACATATTCACACGCACATACATACAAACAGATGCACATGCATGCATGCACACAGACACACCAACGCACACATACACAAACACACACACGAGCAAACACAGCCATACGCGAAAGTACACACATATTTAGTATAGTATGTACATATTGCATCATCATCATCATCATTATCATCACCATCATCATCATCATCATCATTATCATCATCATCATCATCATCATCATCATCATCATCATCATCATCATCATCATCATCATCATCATCATCATCATCATCATCATCATCGTCGATAAAAACAGCAACAACCATGACAACTTGTACATATCATGTGCATATTACTAATATGACGGTTCTAAAAAAAAAAAATATATATATATATATATTTGGGGGGAGGCACGTCTTCTGTCTTCTAATAAACTTCTGTTTTGACTCTTTGAGCCTACCAAAGAATATCTCAGAGTTTGTCAACCTGGTCGATGCCGACCACTAGTGGACGATTTGGTTCATGTTGATGAGCGGTTGGGAGCCCCTGAGTAAAGTAAAATTGTTCCCGCATCCGATCCGGACATTGGGGACTGCCTTGTTGGCGAGACAACTTCCTGGGCCTTCAGCATATTGTGGTAGGGTGGCCAGTTCCTTTCCACGCCGCCTTTACTTCCCCCAACTCGAAGTCAGGTACTCATTACTGCTGGGTGGGCAGGAAGTGGGGGGGGGGGGGCGAAGAAAAATCCGTGTCGGAAACACCTATCAAACATCTATCATACTCATCTACCCTTCTTCTTTTTTATGTTTGTTACTCTCTTGTAACACCTCAAATCTCCTGGCGCTCATATGACCTTACGCAGTTGCGAGCGCCGTAAAACATCTACTAAAATTAAACTAAACATTTCCTTCCTCATAATGTGACCCTCATATCTCGCTGACACAGTCCAGAATATGGAGACATCTTGCCAACGGCTGAGTCGATATCGTTTATCCGATTCTCCGGAGACAGTATCAGCAAGCACGGTTTTGGAATGCTACACAACATGCCGAACGAGTTCCGGATGTTTCGGTATCAACTACTCAGAAACTGATGACGTCAATACAAGGTGCGAGCTGTTAATGGGCACTCCTGGAGGATTTATCACGAATGGTTCATGGCTTTACAGTGTCTGCAGTTCCAAAATGAGTCTTCTTCTTGTGTGACTCACCATTGACAAAGTGATGTGTTGTGTGTGCTGTTTTTAGGGTAATGGCTGAGATTTACTGTGCTGATATGTACACTCATTTAATATAATATGTGAGGTGTGCTGACAAAATGAGTTACTTCTCGGATTTCAGCCTTATGGAAATTGATACATCAACTTGATAGGTGAAGTTTGTACAATTTGTGAGCATGGAATAGTAAAAGACACACTAAACTTGAACAAAATGACATCAACTGAAAATCTATAAATCCGACCCCAGTGTCGATTTTCAGCCGATATCTCCATTCTTGGATCGTTAGAAGAAACTCATTTTGTCAGCACAATTCACATATTATTATAAACGTGCACATCCATACAAAGTCTCACATGTATAACACATAAACACATATTATGGTCGCTTGTAAGCACAAGGGGGCTATCCCGAGAAATGCTGTTTTGAGAAAATCGAAGGTAAAGTTGTTGGCCCTTGTTCAGTTTCTTTAAAAGATAAGGAGAGTTTTTGTCTAAAACCAGTCAAAATGTAATATACCCACCAATAACCCCTGAAATCTGGGTTAGCTCGCTTTTCCTTAAAAACGACCATATAATTTTATATGCACACACAAACGCACGCATTAGAATTACTGTTATGCACTTGCAGGCATACACACCTAGTAATATCTAAACACACACACATCTATACATACTATTCGTATGCCCAACACAACCACATTTATGCACACACACACACACACACACACACACACACACACACACACACACACACACACACACACACACACACCCATGCACTCTCACGTACAGACACGAGTACACAAACATACACAGTCTCACACATATACACTGCCACACATACGTATACACACCTGTCTACACACACATACACACACATATGCACACACACACAGACACACACACACACATAATATACTGCCACATATACGTATACACACCTGTCTACACACACATACACACACATACACACATACACACATACACACACATACACACACATACACACACATACGCATACACACCCAAATTCTCACTAGTGACTATGATTTCCCCACCAGTAGTAGACAGGCACTATTATAGCGTGACAGCAGATAATCATCTATATACCACACTGTTCTACATTTGTGTAATAATGCAGTGGAATCAGGCTCTCGTCAAAATAATCAAAGTGAAGAAACTTGCATTTTCCCCCAGGTTTGTGAATTTTTAAAAAGTTTTTGTTTTTTGGCTCAACACCTTTCATACCCATTAAAGAACTCATTTATGTGTGGATTTTTCTGAAAAACGTTGATTAAAGGTACAAAAAATGTAAATTCTTAGTTACCACGGACTCTTAAGCTAACGATATAACTAATCTTTGGCGACCATTTTCTCATTAATTTTACCTCTGAAAACAGGTGACCCCCACCTCCTTCTTTCGCACATATCACAAACTTGTATTCAAGATAACTGGGTATTTTTTCATTCAAATAAATACAAGTAAACAAGCTTTCAGATGATACCAATTACTCTACATGCCCAAAAATTGACGAGCGCCTGATTCCACCACTCTGCCTCACATTTGTGTAAGGATGTGGTGGAATCGTGCACTCGTGAATTTTTGGGCATGCGGAGTTATCGGTATAATCATAAAGCTGGTTCACTTGTCTCGCTTTCGTTGAAAAAATGCCCAGCTATTTCGAATAGAAGTCAAGATGATCAAGTTTGAAGAATGTGGGGTCGCCTGATTTCAAAGTTGGAATTAGCGAGAAACTGGCCGCCAAAGTTTGGTTATTTCCATAGCTTGATAGCCGTGGAAACTGTAAACTTACATTTTTTGTGTGCCTTAAATCATTTTTTTCAGTAACATCCACCCACAAATGTGTTCTTAATTGGACAACAACGGTATTAAGCCAAACAACCCCCCCCCAAAAAAAACCCCCCAACAACAACCCAACAACAACCCAACAACAACCCAACAACAACCCAACAACAACAACAACCCAACAACCCCCAACAACAACCCAACAACAACCCAACAACAACCCCCCAACAAAATTCGATCAAAATTACCAAACCACCGGAAAAGAGACTTTTTCTTGGATTTCATTGTTTTGACGACCGTCTGATTCCACCTCATCGAGACACATTTACGACCTGTCATCATGACTCTTGTGGCTGCCGGCTGACTCACAGTAAGGAAGTTGGCAGAAAGTACCAGTTGTAGTGAGCGAAAAGAAATGAGGAGTGCGCAGCAGAACTTAGACGTGATACATCATCCTCATCATCATCATTATCATCATCATCATCATCATCATCATCATCATCATCATCATCATCATCATCATCATCATCATCATCATCAGCAGAAATAGCAGCAGCAGTAGAATCAGCAGCAGCAGCAGAAATAACAGCAACAACCATGACAGGAATACAGGGTATTAACAGTAGCAGCCTTAGGACAATACATTCCTGAAATCTTTCTACTCACTTAGCACGTATCCGTTCACGAACAAGCAAGACGAAAATCCGGAGAGAAATCTGAAGGCTAGAAGTGAGGGGACATTGAAACTGAAGGCGTTGACGAGACCGCTCAAAGCGGTGAGGGCAGCGAAGAGGAACATTGTGTACCGTCTACCGATGCTGAACCGACAGAACGAAAGAAAGAAAGAAAAAA